AATGAAGAATAGGTTCAGTTAATGTGATAGCTACGAAAGCGATTGCCAGGACATCCTGGAAGTGGACTACTGTGAAATTAAAGCAATGCCAGTTGCATTACACAGGAAATAGGCATGAGATTTCGATGTTCATGACCACTGCTCTGGTCTACATAAGGCTGGTATTGAGAAAAGGGTGGAACTTCCAAGAACAATCCATGGCCCATCGCAGTATACCTAATTTATTGCAAAGCTGAGAGGAGATCAAGATTTGATGTCCTCCTACCGAGATGTTAGGTGCAAACGATAATTGATACAATTCGGCCTCACTTTTAACCATGCCCTACACGACTCCCTGCTACAAACTGGCTTTGACGAAGAGGTCAGGAAAAACATATAGCTAATATTTGGAAGGTAGCCAATATTGAACTCCAATGCACTGTTGAGTGGATATGTTGGATCACTGGGGCAGGTTATAGGTATGCGCTGTATATAGTTCTGCTTGCCCAGAACTAACGGATCTAAATCAGCCAATTCCTTAATTTCAAGGGTATCTTTGAACATGTTTTCATAGCTCTTCTTCAGCCTCCAACTCTCGCTCTGCCCTTCTCACCTGGCGCTCAACAACCTTCAATCGGGACTCGAGACTGGCCATCGCTTTCGAGTTACTAATGATACCTGTTTCGTACCAGGAACGAACCGCGATCTCGCTCCTTTGTCGAAGGTCGGCCATCTCCGTAGCTTGTGCAATTTGGGTTGCTTCGATTGCTTTCATTCTATCCTGCAATGCCACAAGTGCTGCGCTATCCGCAGGATCCGGAATCGGACTGTCTTTGATCGCGGTGAGGGACGATAGAGTCGCAGGAAAGGCGGATGCTGAGGCTAGAACAATGGATTGGAGTGCATCGATGTCCAGCTGCGATGGTGGCTCTGATGGGTCGGACGAATGAAAGAAGTCGGGGTGAGCTCTGTCTAACAGGGGTTCAGTATGGATTGAGACTTCAAAATAGATATTCTTGATACATACATATCCTCATAAGCTCATGGTAAACGCGGACATCGGACAGGAGCATAGAGAAACGTCGCTCGAGCTTGTTAAGCTGGCTAGCCGCCGACTGGTCCTGAGCCAGCGCTGGTGATTGGTTCTGGCCATAGAGCAGATGCTCGATTCGGAGAAGCCGTGATTCAAGCAAATCGAGCGTAGAGAGAGTTGTTTCGTCCATATTGGTGGCCATCGTGACAGGCAGCGCGCGGCATTAGCAGGTGAACCTACAGGTAAGGTACAAGACGCCAGAAGAGAAAAGTGGGGTGGTCAGGAGGATTCATTATCATGAAGTTGTGAGACCTGCAGAATGGTCTTTGCCGCATCAAATGGCGCAATTTGCTCAAAGAATATGAAATGCGCAATGAAATACAGCATCGTAGAAACTTTTTAGTAAATCCAATAATATGCGATGTGCAAGTTTGTTAAATGAAAGGCCACTTACTTCTCTTCATCATAAGGGCGGCTCTTCGTCTCATGCTTTGAAGCTATTCCCCGGATTAGATCAGAAAAGCCCGATGATTCGTCAAATCATGATCTTGGCGTGCGCTCATTGGCCGCATGAGTTCGGCACAACACTCTAGCAGCTCCCCGTCGTTAGGTTATTTCAAGGATCGTGCAAGAGACCAGGGCCTGTCAGGAATTCGTCTCCTGACTGTGTCTTCTTCCTCCTGCATCTCAATCATCCACAACAGCCTCGTTGGCACTTTGCTCGTGACTTACCGTCTTGGTCTGTTGTGATCGGACGGCAGTGTTGAACTGTTTGTTCGCCAGAGGCCTTTGTGCCGCGCCAGATTGACGCAATTGTCTAGGGCTGCTGGCCTACCACCGCCTTTCCGCCTCGCGCCTACGTAGTCAGCAATTCGGCTTAGGGTCCCGAGGAACGCAGCGATAACGAACATACATACCTCCAACACCTACGACTCTACATCACAGCAGACGGACGCATAACCTAAATACAGCAAGATTTACTCCTCTCGATCGCGCCGAATTCTCGACGACTCTGTACGCCTTATCGCCGTGTAATGACGAACTACTCTACAATATCTGATGGAAACGCTTCTTTATTCAGAAGTGCCGGCGACATGTCAAGGTGAGGAGATCTCGCCTGCCGACATCGGTTAGGAATCATGACCACTGACGAAACCTTTCTCAGACCTCGACGTCGCGGTCATAAGGATGGCGGCCATGGAGGCCAAGCCACTACGATCAGCAGTGTCGTAAACCTGCTAAATACAAGTACGTTGGACATTTCTCTTTCTCTTTGGGCGCGTGCTGACACGGGATATGCAGTTGTTGGAGCTGGCACTCTTGCCATGCCCTCAGTTATGTCACATATGGGTATCATGTTGGGAGTGGTGCTGATACTGTGGTCTGGATTGACTGCCGCTTTCGGTCTTTATCTACAATCTCGATGCGCTCGATATCTCGACCGAGGAACCTCTTCCTTCTTCGCCCTATCGCAAATAACCTACCCAAACGCCGCCGTTATATTCGATGCTGCGATTGCAATCAAGTGCTTCGGAGTTGGCGTGTCTTACATGATTATCATTGGAGACCTTATGCCTGGTGTGGTGTTGGGCTTCCTTAGCAACGCTAATAGCGCTCCGTATCTGGTCGATCGAAACTTTTGGATCACCGCGTTTATGCTTCTTATCATTCCTCTGAGCTTTCTGAGGAGGCTGGACTCGCTGAAATACACCAGCATCGTTGCGCTGGTCTCCATCGGATATCTAATTGTCTTGGTCATCTATCACTTTGCATCCGACAAGCACGCCGACCCTGGTAGTATCAGAGTGATCCAGTGGGGCGGAGCTATCGAAACATTGAGTGCTCTACCAGTCGTTGTGTTTGCATATACTTGCCATCAGAACGTATGTCAAACTTCTGCAAGTTCATGATCCAGCTAACACGGTTAGATGTTCTCCATTCTCAACGAACTGAAGGATAACTCACCATCAAGTATTATTGGAGTTGTTGGCACAAGTATTGGCTCTGCTGCGTCAATTTATATTGTTGTGGCTATTACCGGTTATCTTACATTTGGCAATGCTGTTGTGGGAAACATAGTTTCAATGTGTACGTTTTAACCCCTCCCCATACTTGCACAAGCTAACCCCTAGGCAGATCCTACTGGAGCTGCTTCAACAATCGGAAAAGCCGCCATTGTTGTACTAGTCACTTTCTCTGTTCCTTTGCAGGTTCACCCATGCCGAGCTTCACTAGATGCTGTATTGAAATGGCGGCCAAACCGCAACTCGTCGAACAACGGACGAACCGCAGCACCATTAGTCCCAGCATCCCCGGCCGGCGATCATGGAAGCATTGCCCCGATGTCTGACCTTCGGTTTGCTGTGATCACTACCTTCATTCTCACCTTCGCCTATATGACTGCTCTCTCAGTCACTAGTCTTGATCGCGTCCTAGCCTTCGTTGGCAGCACTGGGTCAACTTCTATCAGCTTTATTCTCCCTGGTCTTTTCTACTACAAGATCAGTAACCCAGATAGCATACACCACCAACGACTGGCCAAGGAAGACGATGATATGGATGAGGACACACCTACCTCAGATGTTGAGGAGTCTGCTGCACTGGCTCAGAGCACAACTAGTATTCGCAGCGGTGTGAGCATCGCCAGCAATGCCAGCACCCGCAGCAACCGAAACTCGTGGCGTTGGAGACGCAAGTGGCGATGGGATCTCGAGCATATCGAACATCACCATCTGCGTCGACTCGCCCTCGCACTGGCGATATACGGATCTGTCGTCATGACCGTGTGTCTTGTTCTGAACATTTTCTTTGCTGTCACTCATTAATTGTATCATTTTTTCTTACGGCCTCATGGATGACAAGTGTTGGATAAAGGCGTTGTTAGAAGGGGCACATGATGTTTTTCTCAGCGTCTCTGCTTCAATAGATGGCTTAAACTTAGGTAGTTAGACATGGTATTGGATAGCGCTTCGATACAATTACAATAGCGAAAAAATAGATTGGCCGTCGTGATGTGAACCCTTCCAACAAATATCATACAGTCTTCCCCAGCTGCTGCACAGGTCTTGAATCTAGTAGCCTGCGACAGCCTCCATATTTCTTGATATGACTCTGGCTTTTTTATTCCACCTGAATGAACTTCGTGATATCGTCGTGGGACCAATGCCCAGAGATGCCTTTTCGTACATATCGTACAGCCCTCGAGCCACTCATCGAATTCTGACCTTCTCCTGGTCTATGACGCCCTTTGTGTTGTCTTGCTTGGGACCAAATTGCTTCTTTGGTAGAATACCTACCATAGAAAGTAACCTCCAGGCTGTGTCTGTGGGCTGTGCACCAACACCGATCCAGTACTTCGCGCGTTGACTATCGAGCTTGATATCCTTATGAAGTTTTCCGGATGTGTCGTAAGGGTCGGGTTTAGGAATTGGGTCGTATGTGCCAATGACCTCGAGCGGGCGGGAGTTGCGAGCCGTCCTAAATACTTGTTAATGGTGCGCTCAATTGTAACATGTATCATGGGCTGACGGACCGGGCGTGGGCAATGACAATATTGTAGAAGGGCTGGTTTCGGCGCCCAAATCGGGCAAGACGGATCTTGACAACCATGGCGGCGATATGGGGGACTTGAAGACCACGAATTATAGCAATCACCAGTTGTCGCGGCTATGTGAAGGTTGGGACAATTTCGACACGGAGGCGGGGGTTATTTTCGCCGATGTGGCTTGATCACCCGGAAGGTGGTGGGGTCGACCGGGAATAGTGTGGCTAAGGTATCCAGATGGAGCTCCAACGGCGGCTGATGAAGCAGCTCTGGCCAAGTGATGTCAGTCCGTGACTCCCTGGACATTTCAACCATTCCTGACTGACGACATTTTCGAAATCACCCAACTTTTACATCGCTCGGACCCATACGGCATCTAGTTTTCTCTAAGACTTTTGCGAAGATTCATCGATCACTATCAAGAACACAAGATTCAAAGACATTATGGCGATCAAGGTAAGTCATAAGTACTCTCATTGTTGCTCTACGTTCATTCACTGACCGTTTTCAGACCCTCGGAGCCAAAGCTGCTGCTGCTCTTGATCAGGAGCTTATGAGCACTGGAGCGTTCTCTATTGATCAGCTCATGGAGCTCGCTGGACTTGCTGTTTCTCAAGCCGGTTAGTGACTTTACATTACTTGAGCCCTCAAGATTTCACTTTGGTCTCACAAAGCCCAAGTCATTTCTCATGACAATGAACTGCTAACATCATAAGTCTACCGCCTCCAGCCACTTGAGAGTGGCCGGAGGATCCTTGTTGCCTGTGGACCTGGGAACAACGGTTTGTGTTTTCTGCTTACCTGTTTATACCAAGAATCCTCACTAACAGCATCAGGTGGTGACGGACTAGTCGCTGCTCGTCATCTTCGTCAGTATGGCTACAGCCCGAGCGTCTTCTATCCCAAACGAAGCAAGAATGATCTCTACCAGGTAGGTTTACCAAGAAAATCCGTTGTTCACTCAGTGACAGTGAACTTCACTGTTTTTTCACCATGAAAGTCGGATGACGTTTTGTTCGTAACATAGCTGCGATCTTGCAGCTATGTGCTTCTCACAATTATCTTGTCGGTTTTCTACCAGTACTGCGGGAATCGTTGAATGGTAACAACCGGCGCACCGGAAAATCGGTGCCCCCAGCCTTTCAAACACGTCTCGTCTCGATTATATATCCGAAAGCCGAATAGTTGCTGATACTGCTCCCAGCGACTCGCAAAACAACTTGAAGACCTTCAGGTCCCTTTCGTTGATGACTTCTCCTCGGCGCTGAACTCGACGGATCATGTTGTCGACGCCATTTTCGGTTTGTACTTGTACTTTTTCGATAACGACAATATTTGACCGTTCAACTAGGTTTCAGCTTTTCAGGAGAGGTTCGAGAACCATTTCCTGCTGTGATTCAAGCTCTTCAGGACACGAAGCTGCCAGTCACAGCAGTTGATGCTCCTTCATCCTGGGATATCGAAGATGGTCCACCAAAGTCGGGGCTCGGCAGTTCCTTCATGCCTACAGCACTTATTAGCCTAACAGCACCAAAGCCACTAGTGAAGCATTTCAAAGGTCGACACTTTATTGGCGGGCGGTACGTACCAGTCAATAACGCTGTCTCGAGGCAACTAACCCCCAGCATAGGTTTGTGACTCCATCCATCGCAAAGAAATATGACTTCGAGGTCCCAGAGTACAGAGGAGTTGACCAAGTCGTGGAGGTTGAGGTAGCTGGACAGAAGCTCTGAGAGACATGGCTGGAATGATGGCGGATCGGAAAGGAAGTATGCAGTAACTACCCCTTGTTCGAGATTTTGAATATATGGCAGGCGTTTTACATGACCCGACAGCCTCCTCTCAGACTATTCGGACAAACTGGGCTTGGACACTGTCCGTCCCGCATACCATTCCGAAGGAAAAGCAGGCCGTGTGGGCATAGAAGCAATGGCGGATGGAAGAAGTGACAGAATTCAACATAAACCAGATAATCTTTCCCGCAGACGTGGCATGCAGCCGAATGCTGCGTGCACATTTATCGTGAACTCGAGCTTGTTCTTAAAGTTCGAGTGGGCGATGATCGAAGTCGACAATTGAGAAGAGGGAGGCTAGTACGAACGACATGGACAACGACGTTGAAACGTTGAAGATGGCGCATGAATGAGTAAGTAGGGACGAGTTGACAATTACCACAGACAAAAGATACTGGTGATCAATTCTCAGGATTCGTTGCAAAATAACTTTCTGGCAGTAATCGGATAGGGCTGATATAAAGAGTGTGGCGTCGAAACAAACGTGCCGTCTAAGAAAGTACAGTACTGTGAAGACGTGGTTGCCACCGAGGCCCAGTGTATCCAGTATATCCAGGGGGGCTTCAGGGGGTTACGGGTACCCAACCAGAGCTTAAGAAGGCGAGAAGACGAGTCCACGTCAGGTTGGTTGTCTCGGCCCTGGGCGACGTTACCTGGAGGGCTCGTGGCGAAAGAGGGACATGGTGACGAGCGGATGGTACCGCACGAAATAGAAAAGGGAGCAAGAGCATGCGACCACGAGGCATTTTGAAGAAGGAGATATTAAAATCCTGTGCGTCCGCCGAGCAGCGACTTTTGGTGGAAAACACTACCTTACCTTTACGCTTGTCTGATGAGCACCGTCAAGCACCCGGAGCTTTTGCTCCTTGACCCGCACGGTAGGCAGGGGGCGGCAATGCAGCGCTTACAAAACGTACTGTATGGATAAAGCAACCTCGAACAGGGGTCCACATTTCTAACATGAGAGCACGAGTTTCTTCATGAACCAACTCGAAGGTTACATATCCATGACTTGACTCGCTTGCCATTCACGTTTTTAGCAGAACTAGAATCGATATTGGAACTGACGCTGGCGCTGGCGCTGACACTTGAGATCGGCCGACCGACTGATCGGAACCGCTGATGCGCCCAGCCTGAGAGATCGGACGTGTCTCTCCGTCACACTTGCGCCATCGATTCGCAACTGGAGACATCCATTCTCAGACAGCACAAGGCTCCAGAAAAACCCAGCGGTTCGGGGCCTTGCAATATTCACGCTCGGGCGTTCTGCACCTCGGAATCGGTACGGGAGCATCGGACGGCACAGTGGGCTAGCGAACTTGTTTTGCGTATACAACATGTCACATAGCAAGTCTTGCACAGCTATGTGATAAAACAATTACAGCGCAGACTGGACAATACCATTCTGAGACTCTGGAATTTGATTTGGGGTTGGCCCGAGCTAAGGATCCCGACGCTACCACCGTCAGGGTCCTTGTTGTGGCCCGCGATCTCGGGACCCACGATCGTCAATGGAGTATTATTGTGGTAGATCGAACGGCGTCACGTCAACGGTCACGACATAGACTCTACTGGCCGGGCTAATCAAGCGTCAGTGCGGCCAAAATACCCTCTCTTCAAACCCACCTCAAACTAGCTGAAAACACTCAAATGCTGCACAGTATTCGGTTCGTGGGACGAACATGTGTCTGCTTCAATTTAGCTGCGCCCCAGTCCAGGGTCATGTGTATGGATCAGAACAGGGATTAAGTTCCCGAATGTTTAAAGCTGCCTCTGATTGCATCTCTCGAAAAAACCATGTGTGTCTCTTGGGGATTATCCCTGCACCCTGTTGAAATGCAGAATTAGTGGCATCTCCGGTCAGCTTGTCAGCCACGTACCGGAACCCCGGCCGCGGGGTCTAGACCACCAAGATAACATGGCCATGCAGCTCGTTTCCCGATCATGAAGGTCTGCAGAATGCAACTATTTGGTCTCCAGATCGGAGGGAAACCATAGGACATCCAAGACAGCCTCGGACGACGCAATGAGACGGACTCGGGGTTACCGTAAGTGACACATTTCTTTTATCACCTGGTTGGGTTCGGCAGTGGTGAACGGATGTTGGTGGGCCACGTTGTGGCGTAGCTGCTGTCGACATCCGATTAGCTGAGTTTTCGAAGTCAATTGGGCCAGAGTCTGGAAGAAATTGCAAGATGATAGAGCTGCATATTGAAGATCTTGCTCTTTTGGGGCCACCACTACCAAGTTCGACAAGCGCAGAGCTACGGTATCTTCAGCCACCAACAGGGGTAACTCGAGTGAGTTGAAACGAATTGAAGAACGGATGTTAGTGGCAAGCGCTTTCGCGGCTCGTTGCTCAAAACTTGATGCATCAGTTGCTAGGGCATTGGCTTCTTTTGCTTTTGTGTTCACGGCACGGATACAAGACGGAATTGGGCGTCACGTAAGGGACCCCTGTTTACCAATTGGGGGGTGAAACATCAGCGGCCGTTGAGTTTTTGCCCCAGATACTTTCAGGTTTGGGGTTGGGCTTGGAATTTTTTTGCACAAGCCTCTGGAAACTGACAGACAGCTAGCCTAGACCTAGGCACCTAGAAGCAAGGGAACGGAGGCTAAGCGGTGAGTGATCTACGACAAACCGGAAGGATTTCTCATCATACCAATGGTCAAATTCTATGTACATCGCTTCAATGAGGCTGATCCACGGCTCAAGTGGCCTCAGCGGCCAGGTCAAGGCAAGTCAAGTCAAGTCCAGTCGGAGAGGGTCTTCCGGGGTGGATCGTGACATTGAGGATGGGGAAATCGTTGCACTGCAAAATGATGTATATCAGCTGTGTGATGAGATAAGATGCGATACGATATGCGATTTCCACACTGCATTGCGGAAATACGAGCAATTTCAAAGGTGTTTCTTTGCTTGCTCCAAGCGGAGAGTTTACTCCTGCGAGTCCAGTGTCCAATCAGACATCGACAAGGGGAAAAAACAGCCCGGAGCCATCTCCGGGTATTGCAACGCATTGCTGCAGCCATACTTGGCTTTGCAGGGGGAAACAGCCACCTATACGTACTTCCCAGTTGCATGGGATCTTACAGAAGAGTTGAAATTCATACTGTGCTGTGCTGCTGGTATGCACTAAGTGAGGGGAAAATGGACTGTGATGGTGTCGAGATGCCTCATTGACGTCATATCGCCAACTGTCGCTTGCTAGAAGATTCTACGAAGAACACGATTTTTCTGATCGACTGGAATGCAACATTCTACAAGTATAACTTTCGCCGAGGACAGTTGAGATTGGGCTTGAATACTGTTGCCACAATGGCTACTGGTTGTGTACGCACGATAGCATTTGACAACCAGCGAATACGAATAGCCACGGGGCTTACAAGTCTCAGTTCTCTTACCTAAAGTTGGGCAGATATCTCCAATATCTGTCGTGCCAGCTGAGGGCCTCCATCGGCTGGCTATGCCATTCTGAGCATAGAGTCAGCCAGCTAGCTATTCTGAATCATACATGCATACATAACCGTTTTTTCAATAAAGCACGGGCGTGGGACACATCGCAAGGGCAACCCTTGTGCTTCCTTGTTGAGATGCCAAGCCACAAGAATTCATTCAGAACTGCGACGAGACGACCTGAGCCCCCACGTTAATCTACACACGCTGACATGTGCGTTAGGAGTCGAAGCTTCTAGTTTCTTCGCTTCCAACAGGGAATATAGCCGTCCGAGGACTAGGTGACTTTGATGGCTTGCAAGGAACTCATCACGAAAGGTGTTGGTAGGGGTAGCGGGACCTTTCTCAAACAACGGTGTAACTTACCAACAGGCTCCATTAGTCGTTGTATCTCACGCAGTGGGACTTACATAGTTAGAGAAACAACCAGTTCGGCGGGAATTGAGGTATAGCGGTAAAGGCTGAAGACTAAGGGGGTTCTCGCGGTTGACGCAGATAAGTTTGCGCGTCCTGTTGGCGTATTTTCATCACGAGAGAAAGTGAGCCATTCAGAGAGAAGATGAGACACTTAAATAATATCACTGAAAGGGGCAAATATACCCTCACGAGCTATCAGGACCTGCGGGTAAGTGAAGAAGCTCTTGGATTGTGTTATTGTAAGTGACGAGCAACTACGTTTGAAAACTGCTGACCACATGGAGACAGGAACTGCATGAAACTACTGGCGTCAACTTGATTATTCACCGCTAATTTCTCCGAAAGGGGGATCCTTAGTGTGACTCCTGACCTGTCAATGGATTTGTAAACTGTTCCTTGAGCTTCATCACATCGAGCCGCTGCAAAAGCTCCGCCCCTGAATCTGACTGTTGATCACCTGCTGTGTCGTGTCAATGCACCGACGGATCACCTCCTTTACTCTATTCACATCAGGGTATATCTTGTGCCCACGGGATGGAATTTGTAAGCTATCTTCTGCCTACGGAAGGTTACGTCGACTCGTGGAGCTGGGTGACTCACGGCGATGCTGAATATGAAGTTGAGGGAATGTTCTCCGAAGAGTTCTGGTTGTGAATCTTCCTTTGGAATTTTGAAATTCGTCAACGCGAAATTTTGAGCTGAGAACCGAAAAGAATATGGATATTTGGCGAGCAACCAAGGTTTGATACTCGAGTTTTCTTTATGCTTGAAATTGTCCTCCTGAATACTTACTTGGCGATCCATTTGCCATGATCTATATAATCTTACGCATCTTTCAAGCCTTTTTCTCATCCCTTGATCAAGTTGACAGGGGGACATATCAGTCAAAACTCACCGCATACCAAGGGATCGAAGAGTTAGAAACGTCTATCCAGGATACAAGTTTCGCTGCTCTGAGCAGTAAGGACATAGCCCCCAGCTCCTGATTCAGTGGACGGGAGAAACCCTTCACCTCTGGTCGCCTTCCTTGACATAATACATTTAGCCTCATAGATACCACCATGAAATTAAAGATATAGTACGACAACAAATGCCGTACATTTGTACGGGAGGCCTTGTGGCCCCAGAGCTCATCCGAGGGTTTGTTGGATCCCATTTTGAGCTGATAATGAGTAGGCCAGAAGATGTCGAGCTGACATGATGGCCTTGTATAAATGGCCATGGGAAGCTGGTGCAAGATTTGCCAATGATCTCTATAGACAGAGTTTGACGTCTTTTTTTTGTTGCTGCACCTTCATTGACGAAATTGCATCGATGTCCTTGGTATTTGTGACTTAAGTGCTGATAAATGTAGACACATATCGCTGCAGCAAGCTTGAAGACGAATAGACTTTCGATAAGGAAAAAGATTGATAGGATATATGTAATTTGAGCGTTTGCTTCGAAATTTCATCCAACTTCGTGACCTCTTGCGGCCATGAGCTTCCAGGCTTGAGTTGTTTTTCTGTCTTACCTGTTCATAATATTGCAAGCGAAAGTGCTTCTCCATGACAAGCTTGGACTCCCTGCAAGCTGCCCAGAAGCCGCTATCTCGTGAACAGAGGGACTGGTATTGACATAATGACCAAGTAATTAGTCAGCTAGTGATCAGGAAGAACTCTCAGGTTCATGGCGTATGGGGCTCATAGATTGATGAAAACCAAGGAAATACGCTCCTGGTTGGCTTGGTCAGATCGGCGTCCTTCAGTCATTAGCCTAGATTTCTCAGACGAGACTGTCAAGATAGGTAAAGGCTACAAGTACTTGAATTAAATTTCAGAGTTCGAAACCATTTAGTGGAAAATCGGAAAGGAGCGAGGGAGGAAGGAAAGGGAAAATAAGAAGGAGAAACAACTAACTAGAACCTCTCCTGGTCGAAGTTCTAATAAGGGGAGAAAAACATGTCTTGAGGAGTGACGATGATGGAAAATGCAATATTGCTGATGTAATTATTGAGTTTGCCAACAAGTCGACCTACTGAGGCGTGTGTCATATTTCAGCAATATGTATCAATATGACATCTATGAGAACTCTTTCTTCAAATCTCCATTCTGAAGCTCTGCTCTGTAACTAGAGTCTAACGCCTCAGATTAACCTCTATAGGACATCACCATGAGAATGTCGAATCTTCCATGGCTGTGAAATCCTTGGCTTATCGCAGATGAGGTTGCCGTGTGTCTCTGGAGAGAAGACGTGATCTCGGAATGAATAGGGAACCTGTTTTGAGTACATAACAAGCTTATGATTAGGTTGCAAAAACGCGGGTTGTGATGTGATCTACATGAAGTCATGAACTAGTTAAATGAATGTCACTCGAGAATCTTTTACTTAGTATATCTACCTAAGTAGCACGAGGTAACCGTCATTTGAGTGATATCCTAATTATAAACTTTGTCTCAAAATGCCACGAACACGTATGAGCAAGTCAGTGTTGAGGGTGATGGCGACAGATGTGAAGTCGGAGCGTCAGTACTGTTGGCAATTGAAGGTACGATAAGGAAGTGCCTGCTGTGGTGACGGTGTCTATAGGCTCAAGGCACTGTCTATATTGCACTGCCCTAGATTGCCCTTCGGCAAATTGTGAGGCTTTGGGGGAAGCGTAGGTTCAAAGCCTTGATTGAAGCCTTTCGCAGCTCGCTTGTAGGAGTGACTGAACCAGGTAGTTAAGGCGGTAGGTAACATGACATGTCCTGGTGCAGCCAATCTTTGTAAGTGTCACAGTGTTGAGACACGCTTAAGGATGATATGGTCGGCCTTGAAGCCAAGTAGTTGTTTGACGAGAAAAAAAAAACGGACCTTTGTATCCGTAACTAAAGAAAGTGAAATGACGGGCACAGGTCAGAAGGTTTGAACAAAATAAGTGCTGTCAATTTATGGAAGCAAGTACACTAACAGTCTCAAGAATAACTAGCTATTGTACATCGTATATAGATACAGGTACAGATACAGGTACAAATACAAATACAAACATAGGAAACGAATTCGTGTCAAAACCTCTTGGTCTGAGACTCAAGGCTCTGACAGTGGACACATAGGAAACGAATTCGGGTCGTGACTTCTTATAGAGTCCGACTGTAAACAGACATAGGAAAGAGATTAGGTGTCGAAACCCTATGCGTCTTAGCTTTATAGAGTCTGACTGTCGATACATCTTGCACCATCGTTCCAGGACGACGATGGACCTGTTGCCAGGAACTTTGGAGTTCCAACCGAAGGGGCGATAGGGAACTTCCAGATCTGACCACTGGTGTTCTCTGAACCGTAAAGGTTTCCGTCTTGCGAGGCATATGCGGCTCCCCATACGTTTTGACCAGCAATCATACCAAAGCCCTGGATTGTTGTCCATGTGTATGTCGTACGGCTGAACTTGCATAGCGTGGATGTCTTGCCCTGGTCGTCGTACATGATAGAGTACATGAAGTCGCCTCCTCCAGGGACGAACGCCCAATCGGCAGAGTTGAGAGGGTTCTTGGCGGTGCCGCTCATGAGAATCTTGCCGTAAGTGGACGAGCCAGGCATGAGATCGATACACCACCAGCCTTCGCCCTGGTTCGAGATCCAGAAGCGACCTTGGTTATCGACATCACCCATCTGGACGAGACGATCATTGGTACGAGTGCCAAGCAGTGTCCAACCGCCGTCACCACCGATACGGATAACTTGAGAGCCCGTGTCGTCCATATGCATACCATAGATGTAGTTGTCGAAACGGTTGTAACCGATGGCGTTGATCCAACCACCAGGACCGACATCACTCTTGATAAGTGTTGTCTTGCCAGATGTGATCTCGACACGGTAGAGAGCCGTCTTCTGCATGAGGTAACCGTAGACATCACAATGGAAGGAGACGGTGGCTGCCGGCGCAGTAGTTGTAGTGCTGCTGGTGGTGAGAGGCCTGGAAGATGTTGTAGATGTAGTAGATCGGGGAGCTGGGGTTGCGATGACCACGGTGGCAGGGTCGCCAGGCTCACCCGGAGTATAAGTGGAGGTAACAGGGGTAGAGATTGTAGTGCCACCGTTTGTAGTGATTGTGACTGTGCGACTCGGTGGCATCTCGACGATGACGGTACCGGGATCGCCAGGTTGGCCAGGTGGTGAGTATGTAGTGTATCGAGCAGTGAGCGTTGTCGGGCCAGCTGTAGTGACCGTGACGTTGTAAGGAGGGGGGTATTGCACGATGACAGTATCGGGATCGCCTTGAGTTTGTGCAGGCGCAAAGACAGTAGTAGGTCGGGTAATAGTGCTGGCTGTTTGTGTCGTCGTGACAGTGTATTTGGGAGGTACCTGCACAATAAAGGTACCTGGGTCGCCTTGAGTAGCTGGCGGTGCGTAGGTCGTTGTAAGCCGGGAAATAGTTGAGACAGTGGTTGTGGTAGTGACGTTATAGGCGGGAGGCATCTGTATAATGACAGTACCAGGATCTCCTTGGGTGGCCGGCGGTGAGTAGGCTGTTGCAACACGTGAAATGGTCGAGATGGTCTGTGTCGTGGTGACATTGTAAGATGGAGGTACTCTCACGATGAAAGTTCCCGGATCACCCTGAGTAGCCGGGGGTGCGTATGTGGTTGTGAGTCGGGAAATAGTTGAGACTGTAGTCGTGGACGTGACGTTATATTCAGGAGGTACCCGGACCCAGACGGTTCCGGGTTCACCTTGCGTAGCGGGGGCTGAGTATGCAGTTGTAAGTCGGGATATGGTTGAAACAGTCTGCGTTGACGTGACGTTGTATGAAGGGGGCATTTGCACAACAATGGTGCCTGGATCTCCCTGAGTAGCCGGGGCCACATATCGGGTTGCAGGTCGAGATATCGTGGGAACAGTCTCAGTAGTAGTAACATTACGATCAAGGGGAACCTGCACAATGAAAGTTCCGGGATCACCCTGTGTAGCTGGAGGAGCATATGTTGTAGACATACGAGTGATCGTGGGGACCGTCTGAGTGGTTGTCACATTATATGCAGGCGGCAGCCTTACCCATATGGTTCCTGGATCACCTTGTGTACTAGGCGCAGAATAGGTTGTATAAGCTCTCGAAATTGTACTGACAGTTGATGTGACAGTGACGTTGTATTCCGGCGGTACGTCCACGTAGATAGTTCCAGGATCTCCTTGTGTGGCAGCAGGACCATATGTTGTCCTAACACGACTGATAGTGGTGATTGTGTGGGTAACTGTCACGTTGTAGTCCATTGGGACCTGGACCAGGACCGTATTGGGGTCGCCTTGAGTGGCAGCTGGGTAGTATGATGTCCTGACCCGGCTGATCGTGCTGACTGTTTGAGTAGTGGTGACGTTATAGTCGACAGGCACCTGCACAAGAACTGTATTAGGATCACCTTGAACGGAGGCAGGGTTGTAAGTTGTTCTAGCCCGGCTGATTGTGCTGACAGTTTCAGTGGTTGTTAAGTTATAGTCAACTGGGACCTGAACCAAAATTGTTCCAGGGTCGCCTTGAGTTGCACCAGAGTTATAGGTGGTCCTAACCCGCGTGATCGCACTGTTGGTTTCAGTGGTGGTGACGTTATAGTCGACAGGGACCTCAACAAGTACGGTATTGGGATCACCCTGGGTACCGGCTGGCATATAGATGGTCCTGATGCGACTAATTGCACTGTTGGTCTGGGTTGTCGTCACATTGGAATCCGGTGGGACTTCAATGAGAACCGTGTTCGGATCGCCCTGAGTGGCAGCAGGCATATATGTGGTCCTAACCCGAGTGATTGCACTGTTGGTTTCAGTCGTTGTTAGAGTGTAATCAGGAGGAACCTGAATGAGAACCGTATTAGGATCTCCTTGGGTGCCGGCAGGATAGTATGATGTTCTGACCCTATTGATTGAACTGACAGTCTCGGTTGATGTAACGTTATAATCAGGAGGGATTTCGATAAGAACCGTGTTAGGGTCACCCTGCGTCGCGGCAGTCATGTAAGTAGTCCGGACACGAGTAATTGAACTGACAGTCTCAGTTGTTGTGATAGTGTAGTCAGGGGGAATCTCAACAAGGACGGTATTTGGGTCGCCTTGCGTACCAGCAGGCATGTAGGTCGTCCTAACCCTGTTGATCGCACTATTTAACTCAGTGGTAGTGGTGTTGTAGTCAGCTGGAACCTCGACTAGAATAGTGCCTGGGTCGCCTTCGGTTGCGGCTGGATTAAAGGTTGTGCGGACACGACTGATAGTGCTGATAGTCTCAGTTGTAGTGACGTTATACTCCGGTGGCAGATCGACATAAACGGTCCCAGGATCACCCACAGCCGCAGGGCTTGCAAAGCGTGTGGCAGGGCGGCTGATGGTAGGGACTGTTGATGAGACCGTGATATTGGAATCAGGGGGGAGCTTAACAATGATAGTGCCAGGATCGCCCTGAGTTCCAGCTGGAGCAAACGTGGTTGAAGGCCTTGTGATGGTCTCGATAGTCGTGGTGATAGTGACGTTGTATTCCGGCGGCAAGTTAACAAAGATAGTGCCGGGATCGCCGATAGTGTCAGGCTTCGAGTATCTAGTGACCGGTCTGGTGATGGTCTCAACGGTTTGAGTCGTCGTGACGTTATACTCAGGCGGCATTTCGATAATGATGGTGCCAGGATCGCCTTGAGTGGCAGCGGGAGCAAATGTCGTTGACTGCCTCGTGATTGTGGGGACTGTTGTGGTTACGGTGACATTATACTCTGGCGGAAGGTCAACGTAGATAGTGTTGGGGTCGCCGACAGTACCAGCCTTCGAGTACCGAGTGACTGGTCGGCTGATTGTCTCAACAGTCTGTGTTGTAGTCACATTGTACTCGCGGGGCATTTCAATGATGATAGTGCCAGGATCTCCTTGTGTAGCACCAGGAGCAAAGGTCGTGCTTTGGCGCGTGATGCTGTAGATCGTGGTTGTGACGGTGACGTTATATTCGGGTGGTAGATCGAGATACACGGTGCCAGGGTCGCCAATCTCAGCAGGGCTAGAGTACCGAGTGACTGGCCTACTGATTGTTTCAATAGTCTGCGTTGTGGTGACATTGTACTCAGGGGGCATCTGAACAAGCACGGTGCCCGCATCACCTTCAGTGGCGGGTGGTTCAAATGTTGTGCTTGGCCGAGTGATTGTGCTGACAGTCGTGGTCATTGTCACGTTGTGGTTCGGTGGCACGTCGATATAGACAGTGCCTGGATCACCCTTCGTGGTAGCGGGCACAAACCGAGTAGCCGGGCGTGTGATCGTGGGCACGACATCAACGATAGTAGTGTTGGTGTCCGGAGGCTCTTGGATAATGACTGTGCCGGGGTCTCCTTGATTGGTAGGAGGCACATATGTTGTTCTGACCCGTGTAATTGTGCTGACCTCTTCCGTAGTAGTAACATTCCTATCAGGAGGCAATTCGATGATAACAGTACCCGGATCGCCTCTGTTGGCAGGCGGAGAATAGGCTGTATAAGGAGCAGTCAGTGTAGCGATCTCGGTCGTTCTAGTCACGTTCCTGTCAGGCGGGAGTCGCACAATGACAGTGCCAGGATCACCGCGGTTGCCCGGTGGTGAATAAGTAGTATAGGCCTCGGTCAGCGTAGGAACCTCTTCCGTGGTAGTCACGTTACGATCAGGAGGCAATTCAATGATAATTGTGCCTGGATCTCCTTTGCTTCCTGGCGGAGAATAAGTCGTGTAGGGAGCAGTGAGACTGGAGATCTCGGTAGTGATCGTGACGTTGCGGTCAGGAGGCAATTCCACGATAATGGTGCCAGGATCGCCTGGAGATCCTGGAGCAGAATATGCTGTATACGGAGCGGTACGAGTGGGCACTTCAGTTGTAACCGTGACGTTCCTGTTAGGTGGCATTTCCACGATGACGGTTCCTGGGTCGCCCTTGTTGGCAGGGGCCGCATAGGTAGTATACGGAGCAGTGAGACTAGCCACTTCAGTCGTGACCGTGACATTCCTGTCAGGAGGAAGCTCCACGATGATGGTGCCAGGATCGCCCTTATTCGCCGGGGGGGAATACGTGGTGTAAGGCGCTGTCCTGCTGGGTACCTCGGTGGTGATTGTGATATTGCTGTCAGGTGGCATCCCGACAATGATGGTTCCCGGATCATCTTCAGCACCGGCCGGCGAGTAGGTCGTGTAGATCGCTGTAATGGTGCTGATAGTCTGGGTGATTGTCACATTTGAAGGAGTGGCAGAACTAGGGGTCTCGATGATTACTGTACCGTTGTCTCCACGGTTTGCGGGAGGAATGTATGAGGTGACAGGACCAGTCATAGTTCGTGGGCCAGGCCTGTAGACAGTGACGTTTTGTCCAGGATAATCGGTAGTGGATGGATCTTGAGAAGTTGACACAACTCTCTGGTTCGGCATGATGATGGCGATGGTACCTGGGTCACCTGGAGTGCCAGGGGGGTTATACCTGGTGACAACATCTGTCGCAGCGTCCGTAGAATCAGCGTCACTGGTGACAGTGACATTATAGTCAGGCGTTTCAACAATAATGGTTCCGGGATCGCCAGGCCCATCAGGAGGCGAGTAGGTTGTAAATGGCGCTGTGATTGTTGAAGCACCGCGAGTCGTCGTCACATTGTAAGGACCAAGAGGTGTCTCGATGATAACGGTGCCTGGGTCACCGGGAGTGCCAGGTGGGGCATATGAAGAACGCAAGGTTGTGACGGTTCTCGGTGCTTCTCGTGTTATGGTGACATTGTAATCGGGTGTCTCGACAATGACAGTACCGGGATCACCAGGTGTAGCTGGGGGCGAGTACGTTGTGAAGGGGGCCGTGATCGAGGCACCACGAGTAACAGTAACATTGTAGTCGGGTGTCTCAACAATAACGGTACCTGGATCACCAGGAGCACCTGGAGGCGAGTATGTGGTATATATACTTGTGATCGAAGCGGGAGCCGCCCTTGTGATGGTGACGTTGTAGGCATTGTTTGGTGTTTCGACGATGACAGTACCCGGATCGCCTGGGGTACCTGGAGGATTATATGTCGTTCGTACGTCAGTAATCGAAGCTGGTGCCTCTCGGGTAATGGTGACATTGTAATCTGGGGTCTCGACGATGATGGTGCCTGGATCTCCTGAGGCGCCAGGAGGAGAGTATGTGGTGAAGGGCGCTGTAATCGAGGCGCCGCGAGTGATGGTCACGTTGTAGTCGTTGTTTGGAGTTTCAACAATCACGGTGCCAGGATCGCCAGGAGTTCCTGGAGGGGCGTAGCTTGTGCGTAGACTTGTGATCGATGCGGGCGCCTCACGGGTAATAGTGACATTATAATCGGGCGTCTCTATGATGACAGTACCTGGGTCACCAGGCGTTGCAGGAGGCGAATAAGTTGTGATTGTGGTCGTGATATCAGTAGGAGCTGCCCTCGTGATTGTGACATTGTATTCTGGAATCTCAATGATGATGGTTCCTGGATCAGCTGGTTGAGCTGGAGGCGAGTAAGTAGTGAACCTTGTGGTAACACCACTGGGTGCTGTCCTGGTGATCGTCACATTTCCGTGTTCAGCCAAGGCCTGATACAAGTAAACACTAGTTTGCGAGAGAACTGTTCCTGGCTCAGTACCACTGGGGGGGATAATGATGACGTTGGTTTCCGCGCCGGTGGTACCTGCGTCACTTCCGGCGTCGGAATTGGACCCGGTACGTGTTGAGGGATCACCAGGAATAGTGACTGTCGCACTGATAGTAACATAACTGTCAGTATCCGGTGCTCCAGCGGATGACTCTCCTGATGTATCCACAGGTGTGTAGATGATCTGTGTTCCGGGGGTTCCATCAGTTGCGGGGATAATCTGTGTGACATTCTCGCTAGCACCAGCGAACCTGGTGTTGGGTTCAATGACGGTAAAGTCATCGTTGCTATCTCTCGGAGTCAAGGTGAGTGCATCGGGATTGCTGGAAGAAGGTGTTGTGATGCCACTGGCTGGATCATCAGTGGTGGGCACTGCCGATACTGAGGCAGGACCAGTAGGAACTGGAGGAGGAGTCTCAACTACAACGGTTCCGGGATCTCCAGAGGAGCCAGGAGGGTAGTAGGTAGTGTACGGTACAGTCAGAGAGTCGGGACCGTCAGTGTAAATAGTCACGTTCCTACCTTCCTCAGAGATAGATTCAGTATCAGTGGCCACCGTCTGAATGAACACAGTTCCTGGTTGGCCTCGTGTTTGTGGGGGTGCGTAACTGGTGATGGGAATCTTGACACCTGGGGGGGCCAAGGTATAGAGAGTAACATTGGTGCCTGGTGCCTCAGATGTAGTCTCAGAAATGGGGGCTGGAGTCTCGATGATGATCGTTCCAGGCTGCCCAGGCGTACTTGGTGGCTCATAGGAGGTCACCGGAGCAGTGATGACTCCTGGGCCAGGATACTGACGCACGATAGTTATATTGGGGCTATTGTCACTGGGCGGGATCGTGACAGGCGCAGGAGTAGTAGCCTCGGCCTGAGTCTCAACGATGATAGTACCAGTTCCGGAGACAGGAGCAATGGTTGTGACTGTAGTTGGCGCCGTAAGCTGACCCGTGCCAGTGTAAATGGTGTATACGGTAACGTAAACATCCTCGGCAGATGTAGCTGCCGCTTCAGGTGCGGGCGTTTCAATAATAACGGTGCCTGGGTTGCCGCCAGACGGAGAGATGGTCGTAACCGTGACAGGCGCTGTTATCATAGGGGTTCCTGTGTAAGGCCTGAACACCGTCACGTAGCTATCATCTCCAGCAGGAATAGTCAGAGGAGGGTTTGCTCCCTTGTTTGCGGTTTGCGGACCCGGTGTCTCAATGATGACAGTACCCTGCTGGTCGCCCTGAGGAGGAATGGTTGTGACGGTAACTTCGCCTGTAATCTCGCCGGTACCAGTGTAAGGTTCATAAATGGTGGTATACAAAGGAGCAGGTGTCGAGGTAACAGGAGGCTCAGAGCCCGGTGTCTCGATAATCACTGTTCCTGGCTGGTCCCCTTGAGGCTCAATTGTCGTAATTGTGACCGGCGCAGTGATCTGATCAGCACCAGTGTGAGGTCTGTATACTGTCACATATGAAGGTTCGGGGGCAGGGGCTGATGTAACTGGAGGCGCAGTACCAGGCGTTGCAATGATAACAGTTCCAGGCTGATCCCCAGAGGGTGCGATGGTGGTCAGTGTAACTGGCTCAGTAATTCTATCAGATCCAGTGTGTGGCTGATAGATCGTCACATATGAAGGTTCAGGAGCAGGTCCTGAAGTTACAGGGGGTTCTGCACCTGGTGTCTCAATGATCACTGTACCTGGCTGATCGCCCTGAGGAGGAATGGTTGTGATTGTGACAGGCTCAGTAATTCTGTCGAGCCCAGTATGGGGCTGATACACTGTGACATAAGATGGCTCAGGGGCAGCCGTCGACGTGATAGCAGGCTCCGAACCTGGTGTTTCAATGATAACAGTGCCCGGTTGATCTCCCTGCGGGGGGATGGTAGTGACAGTAACAGGGGCGGTGATTCTGTCTGAGCCAGAATGAGGTTTGTAAACCGTAATATAGGAAGGTTGTGCAGCACTGGTGGACACAACTCGCTGGGCAGGAGTATCAAAGATAATGGTGCGGGGCTGGTCACCTTGTGGCTCAATAGTTGTCTTGACGAAAGGCTCAGTAATATCATCAGTGCCGGAGTACTCCTCATAAAGTGTCGTGTATGTTGGAGGAGGAGGCGATGTAGTGACAGGAGGTTCTGCGCCAGGGGTTTCGACCACAATCGTACCTGGCTGGTCACCAGATGGGGCGATGGTCGAAACCGTAACAGGCGCAATGATTCTGTCGATACCAGTGTGAGGGCGATAGATCGTGACAAATGGGGCCTGGGTCTCGATGACGACAGTTCCAGGCTGGTTCCCTGAGGGGGGGATGGTAGTAGCCGTGATCGGCGCTGTGATCTGATCGGCTCCAGTGTAAGGAATAGTTGTCGTGACATACGAAGGGGGCGTGGCAATAACGACGGTGCCGGGCTGGTCGCCTTGAGGGGGGACCGTTGTGAGAGCCGTAGGCCCAGTAATCAAGCCGGTGCCAGTATACAACACAGTCGTTGTGATGTATGATCCTGGTGTTCCAATAACCACAGTTCCAGGCTGTCCTCCCTGGGGAGGAATCGTTGTAAGGGCTGTCGGCGCTGTGATCACATATGTTCCAGTATAAAGTGTCGAAATTGTCACAAAAGGGCCCTGGGTCTCAACAATGACAGTACCAGGTTGATCTCCTTGAGGGGGGATCGTAGTGACGGTAGTGGCCTCGCTGAGTATCTCTGTTCCAGTGTACAAAGTAGTAATAGTGACGTACGATGGCGCAGGTGGTGTAGTTGTGACAGCAGGCGCCGCGCCAGGGGTCTCAACGATAATTGTGCCAGGCTGATCCCCTGTGGGAGCAATGGTCGAGACAGTGACTGGACCGGTGATCTGATCTGTGCCTGTATGCGGAAGATAGACTGTAACAAACGGAGCCTGTGTTTCAACGATGACAGTTCCCGGCTGGTTGCCTTCGGGAGAGACAGTAGTAACAATAGGTACGCTAATCTGGTCAGTGCCAGTATAGGGAACCGTCGTTGTCACATAAGAAGGGGGTGCAGAGGTGGAAGTCACAGCGGCCACTTGCTGGCCAGGCGTCTCAATGATAACTGTTCCAGGCTGGTCACCTTGAGGGGGAATAGTGCTCGTTATAGCCTCTGTGATCTGATCTGTACCTGTGTAAAGCCTGGTGATGGTCACATATGAAGCAGGGCCAGGCGTTGAGGTTACCGGCGGCACTTGCTGCCCTGGAGTCTCAACGATCACGGTACCAGGCTGATCACCTTGGGGAGGGATAGTGGTCGTGATTGGTTCTGTGATCTGGTCTGTTCCAGTGTAGAGTCTAGTGATAGTTACGTAAGTAGCAGGGGCAGGGGTGGTCGTCACAGCGGCCACTTGCTGTCCTGGAGTCTCAATGATAACTGTACCGGGTTGGCCGTTCGTCGGCTCGATAGTCGTGAAAGTGACAGGTTCTGTGATCCTGTCTGCTCCAGTGTAGGGTCGGTAAACCGTCACATAGGTGGCAAGAGGTCCAGTAGAGGTTGTCACAGGAGGTAAATCTTGATCAGGGGTCTCAATGATGACTGTTCCCGGCTGATCTCCTGAGGTCTCAATGGTTGTGACAGTAACAGGCGCAGTGATTATGTCGATGCCAGTGTGAGGGCGGTAGACCGTAACATAAGTAGCTTGAGGAGCACTCGTTGCTGAATCAACAGGAGCCGGGGTAGAGGCAGGCTCAGACTCAACAGGAGTTTCAATGATGACAGTGCCGGGCTGGCCATTGGCGGGGGCGATAGTTGTAATTGTGATAGGACTAGTAATCACATCGGTGCCCGTATGCGGTCGGAACACAGTAATGTAAGACTCATTAGGGCCAGCGGGCAAAGTCACTGTTGGGTTAGGGCCAGGCGTTTCTGGTTCAGGGGTCTCAATGATAACTGTTCCGGGCTGGCCACCTGAAGGCGCAATGTTACTAACAGTCACATGTCCAGTGATTACCCCAGTACCTGTGTAAGGTCTGTAGACAGTAACATACTGGTCACTTGGGCCAGGATCGAGCGTAACAGGAGGCGGGGCAACCTTCGTGTTGACATCTGGAGTAGGTGTCTCGATGATAACAGTTCCCGGGTTTCCGTTAGAGGGTTCGATAGTTGTCACCGTGATGGGCTGATCAATATTGCCTGGCCCAGGATATGGACGGTATTCAGTGATGTAGGTACTGCCAGGGCTTTCAGGGGCAGTGCTAGGCGCATTGGTATCCTGGGCCGCGGGAGTCTCGATAATGATTGTTCCCGGCTGTCCATTGACACCCGGGATAGTAGTTACGGTCACACGTGCCGTAATGGCATCAGTTCCTGTATGTGGTCTATAGACAGTGATGTAGGAGCTGTCCGAGCCGTGTGGGGTGGTCACAGGTGCAGTCTCGGTAGTCCCATCTGTCGAGGTTGCCGCCTGAGGCCCCGGTGTCTCAATAATGATGGTCCCGGGCTGACCGTTAACTCCTTCAATAGTAGTAACCGTTACAGGTGCCGTGATGACGTCAGTACCTATATGAGGTCTATAGACCGTCACGTACGAGTTTCTGGGTCCTGGTGGAATGGTGACAGGCGCAGCATCACTAGTCGTAGTCATTGGATCCTGAGGCACAGGTGTCTCGACGATGATGGTTCCTGGTTGACCATTAGATGGAGCAATGGTGGAGACAGTGATAGCCGCTGTAATGAGACGAGTGCCAGTGTATGGCCGAAAGACCGTGATATAACCATCAGTTCCCTGAGTAGAAGTAACATCTGGTGCTGATGTGGTCTCCGGCGCGGCTTGGGGCACAGGTGTCTCAATGATGACAGTTCCAGGTTGACCATTAGTCGGCGCAATAGTGGTCACGGTGACCGGTGCTGTGATAACACCAGGACCGGGAAACGGCCGATAGACTGTCACGTATCCGTCCTGACCTTGAGGAATGGTAACAGGCGGGCTGTCTGTGGTTGTAGGCTGGGCCTCGGACTGAGACTCAGGTCCTGGCGTTTCAATAATCACGGTGCCAGGTTGTCCTCCTGAAGGTGCGATGGTAGTGACAGTGATTGGCGCAGTAATCGAGGATCCAGTGTGTGGCCTATAGACGGTGACATAGTTGTTGTTATCAGCCGGAATGGTAACTGGTGGCGAAGAAATTGGCGACGGAGCAAACTTGGTATTGACCTCTAGTGTAGGTGTCTCAATGATGATCGTGCCTGGCTGGTCACCCGTGGGAGTCGCAGCAGTAATGGTGATAGGCTGATCAATGTTGCCGGGGCCAGGATAGGGCTTATATACTGTGATATATGGGTTGTTACTTCCAGTAGGAACAGTAACTGGGCCTGTCTGGGTAGCAGTATTGGCATCAGGGTTGGGAGTTTCGATGATGATAGTACCAGGCTGGCCAGAAACAGGGGATTGAGTGTATGTGATGGGAGATGTAATCTGGCCAGGGCCGGGATACGGTCGGTAGATTGTCACATAAGAACCAGTCGGATCAGGAGGAATGGTAATGGGAGGAGTGGAACCATCAGTAGTTTGCGTTGTTGGAGTCAGCGTTTCTGTCGGCTGAGTCTCGATGAACACCGTACCGGGCTGGCCGTTGGAAGGAGCCTGAGTCAGGGTAATTGGTGCAGTGATCGTTCCAGGACCCGGATAGGGCCTGTAGACCGTCACGTATGTATCGGCACTAGAGCTCAATGGAACAGGAGTCTCAATAAGAACTGTTCCGGGCTGGCCATTGGATGGCGGTTTGGTAATAGTAATAGGAGCTGTAATTACACCTGGTCCTGGGAAAGGGGTGTAAATGGTGATATAGTTATCCGTAGTGAGGGCAGAAGTCTCAGGCTGGGTCGTAGTCTCAGGAGCCGGCGTCGTGATAAACACAGTTCCTGGGTTGCCACCAGACGGTGCCTGAGTGCGGGTAATAGGTGCAGTGATAACACCAGGACCCGGGAAGGGCAGGAAAACGGTAACATATTGATCATCACCAGGTGCAGTGGTTGCCACATTCTGCTGATCAGTGGACAGCGGTGCTGGCGTTGTGATGAAAATGGTCCCGGGCTGGCCGTTAGCAGGGGGCTGGGTACTTGTGATAGGAGCAGTAATTACACCTGGCCCAGGGAAGGGCAGGAATACTGTCACATAGCCGTCTGTTCCTTGGGAAGTGGAAGTCAACCCATTCATCTGCTTTGGCGTAGTGAATGCAGGGACAGGTGTAGTGATCCAAACAGTACCAGGCTGGCCGTTGGCAGGTGGCTGAGTGCTTGTAATGGGTGCAGTTATCTCGCCTGGTCCTGGGTAAGGAACAAAAACTGTGACATAACCATCTGTTCCTTGAGACGTGGAAGTTAACCCATTCATCTGCTTCGGTGTAGTGAACGCAGGGACAGGTGTGGTAATGAAGACAGTACCAGGTTGGCCATTTGCAGGTGGCTGAGTCCTGGTGATGGGCGCAGTGATCTCGCCCGGTCCCGGATATGGGATAAAAACTGTCACGTAACCATCTGTTCCAGAGGTAGTACTAGGAAGATTTGCCTCAGAAGTTGTAGCAGGTAGAGGGGCTGGCGTTGTAATGAATACAGTTCCAGGGTTTCCACCTGAAGGGGCCTGTGTTCTGGTATAGGACGTGGTAATGACACCAGGGCCAGGGAACGCAAGATACACAGTGACATAACCATCAGGTCCCTGTGTAGTAGTAGGATCTGGCAGGGGTGTAGTGGCAGGGGTGTCCGCAACAGGGGTCTGGATAATCACTGTACCCGGCTGCCCACCGGAAGGAGTAGCCTGCGTAACGGTAATGGGTGCCGTAATCATGCCTGGGCCGGGGAACGGTTCATAGACAGTGATATAATTGTCGGTGCCAGAAACCGTTGAAGTGGGAGCGAACTTGATTGGTGGCGGTGTCTCTATATAAACCGTTCCAGGATTTGTGCCAGATCCAATGATTGTGGTAGTAAAGATGGCCGTAATAACACTCGTCCCGGTGTACTGTTCAGTAACGGTGACATATCCATCAGGGCCAGTCACCGTAACCATTGCAGTTGTGGGTTGAACCTTTACTGGAGGTGGAGTCTCAATAACAATAGCAGTAGATTGTTGACCTCCTGAAACTGTCAAGGTGACGGTCTTCGTAACTGTGGTACTAACATCTGATCCAGGAGTGTAGATAGTGGCGGTACCGCCAGGGCCAGTGGCAGTGACAGTGAAGGGGCCTTGAGTCTCAATGATAACGGTTCCTGGCTGGCCGTTCGAACCACTAATGGTTGTGACAGTGATAGGCTCAGAGATTGGATCGCCCGTATGCGGTCGATAAATGGTTGTATATCCACCGGGGGTATCAGGTTGAACGGTCACAGTCGCACGAGGTTCAGTCTCAGTGACGGTGTCAGCTGGCGGAGCTGGAGTCTCAATGATGATGGTTCCAGGCTGTCCGTTTGAGGGAGACTGCGTGATGGTGATGGGGACGGTAATGGGGTCACCCGTATGAGGACGGTAAATGGTGACATACGGGTTGTTCTTGCTGGGAGGGATGGTGATCGGTTGGCCGCCCGCAGCAGGGGAAGTCACCGCATTCTGGCCCTTGGGGGTCTCCAGCGTTGGTATTGGTGTCTCAACGATAATAGTCCCCGGTTGGGTACCACTGGGTTGGACGGTGATCGTGACTGGTGCGCTGATAGGGCTTCCACTATGTGGCCTATAGATAGTCACATAAGGGCTGTTACCTCCAGCAGGAATGGTAATAGGCCCACTTCCTGGTGCAGACGTGGTCGGATCAGGCGTCTCAATAATGATAGTGCCTGGTTGACCATTCGTACCTGGCTGGGTGAGCGTGATCGGAACCGAAATTGGATCACCACTATGAGGTCGGAAAATGGTGACATATCGACCCGATCCAGCAGGAATGGTGAAAGGATCACCAGGACCTCGAGTGATCTGTCCACCTCCAGTCGGCACTGGAGTCTGGATGATGATTGTTCCAGGTTGGCCAGGAGCCCCAGTGATTGTGATCGTGTTAGGGACTGAGACGGCATTGGATCCTGTAGGACCTTGGATAATGGTCACAAAAGAACCATCTTGGCCAGGAGGAATTGTGATCTCGACATCGCCGGGTTGAGGGGCAGGAGTCTCGATAATAATAGTCCCTGGCTGACCGCCGGAGGGTGCGATTGTGATCGTATTGGGTGCAGTGATCGCAATGTTTGGCTGCCTAACAATGGTGATATAACCACTGTTAGGATCGGATGGAAGCGTGATGACCTGCTGACCAGCGCGCACAGCTGGGGTCTCGATTATAATCGTTCCTGGATTGGTACCAGATGGAGGCACAGTATACGTAACAGGCTCAGTAATCTGATCGGAACCAGCGTGGGGCCTCAAGATCGTAGAATAAGGGTTATCGCCACTGGGGGGGATAACCTGAGGTTGGTTTTCAGGAAGATCACTGTCTCCACCGGTGCCAGATGTGCTCGAAGGTCCAGGCGTCTCAATGATGATTGTTCCATCCTGGCCTGCCGAGGTTGGAACAAGGATTGTGACGGGAGTTGAAATAGCTGAAGCTCCTGTGTATTGCCTGAGAATCGTGGTGAAATGACCACCGTCACTTGGAGGAATCGTGACAGCACCACCGGGATTCTGGTTACCTTGAGGGACCTGGACAACTACTGTCCCCTGATCGCCCCCAGAACCAACGATGGTGGAAACTCGAGCCTGGGTGATGTACTCAGTTCCGGTATATGTTTGAATCACCAAAACATTGGATGTACTGCCTCCAGCGTTGCCGCCAACGGCACCGCCAGCGCCAGCACCTCCAACGCCAGGAGTGCTTGGTGGCACGTCTGCCCAAGGAGTCTGGATAACAACAGTCGCTGGGGCATTTCCAGCCGCCGGAATTGTCCTTGTAGCCTCGCCAGTAATGGCAACACCACTAGGCAACGCCGAAATAATCGTGGCTGTCGGGTTGTCGTTTGAAGGAGGGATTGTCAACGCGCCGGCCTGGCCCGATGAGAAAGAAGAATAAGCAGTACCAGGAACGTCGACAAGAATAGTACCCGGGTTTGTTCCCGAGGGCTCGGCGATTGTGATTTCCTGGTTCGTAGTGGCATCGTTACCTCCAGTATAAGCCTGAATAATCCTTTCATAAGGGTCATTACGGGTCGGAGCAAGCGTAATTCTTGGGTGTGGAAGGAGTGTCACGGGGAATAGTACTCCTCCGGGGCGAGTGTATGTCTCGATAGTAATTTGGCCCTGTATGATCTGAGTGACGGTGGCATCGTTGTCGGCTGCATTCTGTTGCTTGTCTAGTAAACTCGCGTCGAAAGCTTGGCCCTGATTTCCACCGCTTCCAGCATCACCAGAACCTCCTGAATCTCTGTTGAGAGTAGTATAAGCATGTTGAATGAGAGTCTCCGCAAATCCTGTAGCAATGTTGACTGCGGCTTGGTCGATACCATCTTGTGCCTTGACGGCGAGAAGGAGTGTAGAGGCTAGCAGCCCCCGTGACAACAACATGGTGTGAGTTGTCGTCGGAGACGCAGCTAGCAAATTAATTTAGTGTTGGAGAGAGTCCGTATGAGGCTTTCAAGCTTCATTCCGAGGCATCCTCATCGTTTATAAGAACACGAGAGACAGACACGATCAGCCGGTACGGCTTCACTGCATCGTGTGGCTCTCATCGGCCTGTCTGTTTTCGTCGCCATAGTTCACAGAGCCGGTCTCTACGGTGGGCTGTTCTCGCCCACAGGTCCGCATTCCCAATCCATATTCCCAAGACGTTCTGGACGAGCCAGGAATGTCATCATTGAGCTAAGAGCTCATCTTGTCCGGGAGGGCCTTTGTGGCGATCGTTGCCAGCCTAGTTGGGCGGGTTGCCAGGTCCGAAGAATTTCGCCCTGGAAGGACCTGCATGCGCTGAGCCGTGATTGGGTCATGGCTCACGTGGATAGCTTCGATCTAAACCATTAAGGCTACCGACTGGAACGTGCCGCACCGCTCGGGATAGAGATCTTAGGCGTAGATCCTGTGGGTCAGGGGGGATTACATCTTTTTGCGTTTGTCTTGGGTGAAAGCGTGCAAGCCTCAAGCGCCACACACGCCACATATACAGGACCTCAAGGAAGCACCAACACTTATTCGTGATATGGGCTGTAAGTATCTCCCCTCAATCCGTTTTTTAAAGTTGCCTAGAAGTAAGGTTTGCTTCGGGCCTGGATGCCAAGCCTGGTCAATCTAACCAGTTGCGGCTTTCACTCTGTTGGTATCTCACTTTCATTTGATATAAGGCGTCACGCAAAGAGTTTGCTGATATGATAGAAGAAACCGATTGGTCAAGAATTAAGCCAAGTCGAGTTATAGAAACTGTATCTAGACACTTGCCAAGAAGGCTGTCGAAAAGATTCCTTACCAGCAAACTGTTGACATAGATGACAGTCTACACGAATTTCAACGATCGATGACCCTCGATCACAATGGCCTCATTCTCTGAATACATCGTCAATAGATGACGCCGAATAATGCCGATCTCATCGCTCTCAATGGTATTATGTTGGTCAAAGGAACGTGATCGTCAGGTTAACCATTTTCATTCGCTGTGGTTTGGAGAGACATTTCCGTTTTAGCCATCATTGTTTGCACGGCGAGACACCAGAATCTGTCTCAATCACCACAATGCCCACAATGCTTATCAGGATCTTGCTCATGTCTCGGGGTGAATCTACTCTCATCTACCCGAATACACTGCATCGGTCAGAGAGGCGAAGCCTTTCCCGTTAACAATTACATTATTCCCATGTGTAATTGACTTATTACAAATCAAGCCATGAATTTGCAATGAACTATTGGCCTTCATGCAAACTCTCTTCTTGCTTGGTCTCAATTCTCTCTCAATCGTTTCCTTCTGTAAGCCTCCAAGCCGAGCGCCAGGCTCATGGGAGCTTCATGAGTCTCGGCCCTGCCAAGATTGGCAGTTGGTGTAAGCTACTGATAAATACAAGAGCCCATGAATCAGCAGCTTGGAGCTATCGGCCGGATAGTCTATATTTAACAACGGAGCTTCGGTGCACCCGCCTGGTAGCCATTCAATAGTTTAACTCAATTTACTCACTCCAAGCGATCTGCTCTTTGTCATTCCTAGGACAGCTTTGTTCCTAATGATCGATATAAGTCTCTTCCTGCGTTGTAGCTACTGTCTAGTAAAGAAATAAAATCAATAAAGAGTAGGGCTTATAGCAGTAAACCTAACAAATTATAATAATAGCATACCCCAAGGGTTTAAAACTCTCCAGACCTAGAGTTAATTATTTTAATTAGATTACAAAACTGCCTAACTTTTAAAAAGTATTATATTATTATAAGTATTTTACTTAGTTATATTTACTTTATAATTTATATAACCTAAATCCTTTAGTTAAGTAAATAACTGCTAGTTTAGTATAAGAAATTAGAAACCTAAGGATTATACTAAGTTAAAATTAGCCACCCTACCCTATAATAAATCAATCAATAGAGTGTATTATCCCCGTATAGGGAAAACGTGTCACCGTACGCATTGAGTGTTCCAAAGGGTATTAACAAATTACATCAGACGTCAAAAAGGTAATGAAGCGACGCAGGCCTGATTCGAACAGACGCCTCCGAAGAGAATAGATTTCTAGTCTATCGCATTAGACCACTCTGCCACTGCGCCTTGGCTCACACTTTTCCCTCCGATTCTTGAGAAATCTCATTGGCATCACGGCAAAGGCCGACCGATAGCGACCTTGTTTTATTGAATTGAGGCATTATTCAACCCAACCCAGAGTGTTTTTCTTTCTTTCTGTTTTTGGGGAATACGAAATATACATGACAGTTTGTTCTCGGGATTGCCTAAATTTGATAATCTCCATGTCTCAGATGTGTCCGCTGGCATTGCATATTGGTGTCTTCCCCTGATACAAGCAAGACAGTTTCTGTTGCGTCTAGACCTTTGTTGACAAAAACGTTGCCCAGCCACAACATATTGTTGCAATTTTGTGGTAATCAAACCGACTCAGATTTCTAAAGACAATTTAAGAAGATACCAAGAACTCACTAAACCCAGGTTTCTTGCTAAATTAGGTAGGTATACTTATGTATGATTATCTCTTTACGTTAAAATCTCGGCAACGACACTTTACCTTTTACATAAGAACGCCAAGCAAATTGTTTTCATTTCCCTTTAGTTATGCGTAGACCAGAAGCATAGACCTGAAGATGACTTTACGCTAAATAGATATCAAAGTCAATCGATTGTTTTGGTGTTCGCAAGCCCCCCATTCCATATCCAAAGCTCACGATATCCGGGCCGTCTAAAAACAGTCATATTGGTCAGAATAGCCTGACGATGCATAGGGCTTACCATCTAGGGTAGTATATACATTATTACTTAGTTAAATTGATCTAATTTAGTTATTGTTATTGTTATTATTATATTATTTAACGTCCTACTAGGCTTCCCCTAGCCAATCTCTACAAGGAGTAAAGAAATATACTAAGCTAGCTAAAATAGGTTATTTTATATATAGGCCAGGTAATAGCCTACTAAAAATAAGGCTTTATAAGGCTACGTATCTAAATTATAATAAAATCTTAGCAACTCCTCTGCCCTTTTAATTCTAAAAAGGCCTTATTTCTAGGGCTTAGTCTCTATTAGCAGAGGCATATAAGCATAGCTATTACTACCTATTTAATCTAATTATTTAGTAGTTAAATTATCTAAACCTATTTTTTATAACTACTAGTAGTTATTTCCTTAGGTATATTAGCTTACCTGCTACTAGTTAACCAGGTATGCCTTTTTCTAGTATAAGTTTTAAGCCCTATTTAGTATTATAGGCAGATCTCTATAAAAAAGCTTATTGCCTCTATAAACTTAATAAAGTCTTAGTATTTTCTGCCTATTATTTAGTTAATTTCCCTTTAAGGTATAGGTATAAGCTATAGCCTTTTATTAAAGGTAATCTTTTAATAATAAAAAAGGTAGTTAGGTAATTTCTGCTGCCTATAGAAGCATTTAAGCAAGGCATTATTATATTAAAATCTCTTATAGTAGTTAGTAAAGTCTTTATAGCCTATTTAGGCTGCTAGTAAATAGTATAGTAAGTATCTATAGAGGCTAAGCTTTCCTAGATATTTTAGTATAGCCTTAAGGCTAAGGTTTT